CCCCTTCAGATGTAGTAATGTTATACTTTAAAGATATTAATGCTGTTATAGGCTTAGGTTGTGCTCTGATTGTGTGCCACCGCTATGTTTAAAAGCCTAAACTAAGAAGCAAATTTTCTTCCCGAGACCTCAGGATGGAAGATTGCTGCTGCCACCAGAGGGACTCAGAAATACGACGGTAAGAGACCGTCCCCGCAACCGGCCAAACTTCCCGGCGAAGACGTCTGACTTTCTGGGGCTGCCTGGAGGATTTCTCAGGTGCTGCGTTATCCGCCCCCATGGCTTGAGGAGCTGGGCTCGGGTGGGAGGGTTACGCACTTTCTCCTCTCATTGTGCTGATGGGGGGAACAGATGACGAACGTAGTCATCCTGCCTCTTCTCCTTGGTTAACGCAACTGGGCAGCGAGCTGAGCGGTTTGTGCCGTGCAAGGTACAGAGCGCTCATGAAACCACCTCTATTTCACTGGCTGCCCTGCTATTCAATCACACGCTAAGCACCGAAAATGACGGCTAAAATAGGAGTTAAAAAGTTAACGATTTGCTCGCACTCATGATTAAATCGTAATGTGGGCCTTTTGAGCGTTTATTGCAAATTTGGTTTTAAAAAGTGAGGAGAAAGATGAAAAAAATGTGTGGTCGAAGGTAAAGTCTTCAAAAATTCAGTAAGGTTCAAATGGATTCTCCCGTGTCTGGGGAAAACAACCATTCTCACTTGTCCCACAAAAACCAGCGTTTTTCTCCTTTCAAGTGAGAGCAGAAAAATTGCCATTGCTGCAGCAGATGCTGCCTTAGATTAAAAGAAGGAAAGAGCACTCAGGATGAAACTGCATTTCTTTCACAGTCTGGGTTGTTTATGGTTGGGTTGTGGGTTTTTTTGGTCATAAAACCCTAATCTCAAAGGTGTGTTGGAAAAGATTTCCTAGTGATGAAACCATTTTAGTTCTTGTAACGCACGTATGGAGTTTTGCAGTGACAACCTCTGCCCCAACAACAAAACGCTGTTGCCTTCTCTAAAATTACCATTTCCCACGTTGCTGGAGAACTCTCCGTGTCACTAAACCTGCAGCAAAATTTCATTTATAATAAAAAAAGCCTCACATTAGAAACCACAGGATTACAATGATTTGGGTATGATAAATGATCCCAGGGTACGCATTGCTCGCCTTCTTGGAATGCAGGAGAATAGCCACAGTAAGATTGTTTTCAAGGAAATCACCACGTTTTGCTCAGTTGGAGCCCGACTGACGTTCCCGTTGTTACTTCAGCCCTGCCCTGAGATGCTGCAGATTTACCCTCAGTGACAAGATACGCGGAGTTTGCAAAGTCCCTTCATCTGGATTCTGGTTATGTGTCTATCTCGATTTTCAGACCCTTTTGCAGCCTCTGTGGTTGTGGAGAAAAGGTGTGGGTTTAATCTCATGGTTTTTGGGAGTCCTGACTCATCCCTTTTAGTGTTGAGGGCAGGTAATACCTCTCTCTCGTGTAGAAAATAGCCTGAGCTGCTCTACAGCAGTTTTGCGTGGCCTGCACACAGGGAGATGTGCTTCTGAATACCGAGATCCTACCAAACCCAACCCAACGCCCTCCCCAAAATACTCTGGGTCAGCCACCGGCAAAGCTTACGGGTAACTTAAAGGTTGTGTCAGCCCCGGACAGGGCTCTGTGCTGTAGACAGGCAGCGGTAACCCCCTTCCAAAGCTAACTCCCAGATGAGTTTGTTTTTCTTGTTAAAGGGAGAGCCGTGAAGACTGTCTCCTCATTTCCAAGACATGAGCACACCCAGAAGAGACAAGGCTTGCCCAATTACAGACACAAGGAACTCAGTTAAAACATCTGCTCTTGCGGGATGTTTATGAAGTGGGTCGAACCTACTGACTTTTGGCAGTTTAACTGCTCTGATGGGACAATAAGAGGGATGTTGTTTATGTAATTCATCTTTTGAGCTCTGGTCCCCGGGAGTACGAGCGGCTCCTGAGGGGACCGTGTGTTTGCGAAGGTCTGCACCACGTTGTGCCTCCTGCGCTGCTGAAGAGCCATCATTCATCACGCACAGCACCTTCTGATTGCTGGCCAGTTTTGTGTGTTAAACAGGCTCTCCTCCGCCCCAATGACATGCTTTGTGGGTGTCATCGAATTTACTGGTTCCCTCATTAACAGTAACCTCATATGGGTTGATCAGAGCCTGATGGGAGAGAGGAGCAGCGAACAGGACTGGGCTGGAGCATACTGGTTGATCACTGACAAATAACCAGTATTTTGCCTTTCATCTGGGTGCTCCTCCATCAACCCTTTGATGTTTACTGCTCTGACGATGTGGCACAGAAAGCACGTCCCTTACATGCCGTTTGTGATGCTGAGCAGAGCAGCGGAATCCCTTCTGGGGACTGACGGGACGTCTTGGGAAGCGTACCCCAAATCAAACCCTTCTGTTTGCTTATCACCACATTAGGTTAGAGCGTAGCTTTCATCTGCTCTGCATTTTCATCCCATTTTTTCTAGGCAAGACTCCTTCTCAGCTTCCCTTTCTTATTAATAGCTATGTTTTTAGAATGTTTGGCTTTAGATGTTTTAATATGGTTTTTTTTTAAAGCAGAAAGTGTATTCCCTAATACTCTTTTTGATACCTCTACAGCTGTTCCATCACCTCCATCCCCTTACATACCTGTTGATAGGTATACACTATTCCTTGCAACTATTTCATACACGGTAATCATCCATCCTATAGCAGCCTGGAAACGCTGTGGTGGGTAAGTGGCCTTCCAAGGACCTTCTCCTCAGGCCAAGAAATGGAAGTCAAGACACAGCAGTACTGTGTCAGGTCAGGATCCGAATCAGGGTGGGTTTTTCTTTCTATAGCCATAAGGAAATACTGAGGTGGCAACACCTGGAAGGGATGCAGCCATGCTGGGCTCTGCCAGGATGTCTGTCCGGCCGCACCGTTACGCTCCCCGAGAGCAGGACGGCACAGCACACTTCACCAATGACGCACGTACTCCAACCTTCCCACACCGCCTTTTGAGTTCGGTCTTATCTTTGTTATTCTTACAGGGGAGGGACTTCCAGCCTCGGAAATGGGAAGCAAAGGAAAAGTAACAATGACTTCAGAATGAATAATTAAAAAAGGAATTAATTCCTGAAAAGTTGTTCCTAAAAACTGTTGAAGCCCACTCTCCCTGCCAATTCCCAACGTGAACTGTGTGCTAGTCCGCCTGTTCCATAAGCAAATGGGCACCGTTGGGTCTATTTATACCGCCCGGCTTGGTAATCTACACAATACGGGGCCATGACAAAGTGGTCACCAGTGTTTCGAAGGCAGCCCTGTGGTAAAAAGCAGTACAAGCACTTCTAAGGTGAGTTACTTATTTTCCCCTCCCTCAACATCACCCCAACAACTGCACCTATAAGAAGAATGCCTGACTCCTGGCACAGGAACCTGCTTCCCTGCTCTTCATCCAACACGCGCCCTGAGGGGTTTATGTTTCTGCTGTTTAGTTGAGAGCATAAACCCCAGCGGGTACTGGGCTGTGTTCTCTGCTCCCAGCCCTTGGCTGCGGTGTCGGCACTTCGTGGCTCTGCTTTAGCACAAACATACTCTAAAGTTTGGCGTGTGACACGAGAGGATCGCCCAAGGACACAGGAACCCAGTAACACTGCGGGGCTGGAGCGGGACGCCTCTCAAGCGGAGGGGGGGTTGGGGTATACCGTAAGAAAAGTGGAAATGACTGTTCCTTAAGCAACTGCCTGCTGTTTCAGTGGTCCCTGGGCATCACTAGCTGCTGGCAATAGTTTATGCACCTCGTACCGTGCTTTACTTATCCCCAGAGTCTGTCCCAGAGCAGGAAAGAGGAATACTGAACCCAACTTCATCCCCACATACATGAGCTCTTCAGAGAATAGCTGTGTGCAGCAGCCTCTCCCCTGGTAAATACACCCCCCCGAGCGGGGTGAAGAGACCATGCGAGGGCAAACCTGATGACGGTCCACTTTTTAATCAGCATTTATTTTATAAATGGAGGTTTTACAGTTGTTTGGACACTTACAGGCATCTCTAGTATCTGTGCTGAAGGTTCACTATGAGACACTAAGTAGGAAGAATATGAGCAAATACATTGAGGCAAAATGCTTTTGATGAAATGTCACAAATAGATTTGTCCCTTTTATGATGAGTTTCATGATATAGGATTCAGTCATTTTTCTTACAGCCTCAGGTCTTTGAGTGATAGGATTATAAGACATTTTTCTTTCTTTCCGGGGTAAATTTTCATTTTTTCAAGCCCTGTTGAGAAAGGGACCAACTTTAAAAAAAAAAAATCAGTGGCAAATTCAAATCACCCTAGGTAGAAACCTTAAAAAATTACAAGGCTTTTTTTAGGTAATCCTGTGGTTTCTGACAGCTTACCTTGTGGTTTTTGAATGCTTGGAGTTCGAAGTGCTGCTGCAATGAATTTTAAAATAGAGACTTTAAGCTTGATGGAACTGTAGTGCACGATAATGTAACAGGAAATAGGAAAAGGGGCTTAAAGGTCTCTTTACACACTCCTGAAACAGACAATGGTAATATAAAGGGCAAACCTGAGGCTTGCAGCTAAATTAAGCAATACCAGGACAATTTCAGAGTTTTGGGGATCCGACCCAGCTGCAGCACTGAGAAACCACACAGGAGAAACGGTGCAGAGCTGGAGCTGGGCAAAACCCAGCAAAGCGCGAAAAGAGTTTGTGGCAGAATGGAATAAAGTATCCACCTCACTTTCTGCACCCAAAACCCAGAAGGATTTCTCCTGGCCGGCTGCTGGCTCCCGGCAGGACCCCCAGTGACAGCCCTATGCCAGATGAAAATTCAAACACATCTCACAAGACATGGGTTCATGCAACTTCTTGCCCCTAACTAGAGTGACCACCAGAATTGAGTTTTTAGGACCCTGCAGGGCTAAGGGGTCCCAAAGCCCTACCTTGGCCAGACGCTCTGCTGATCCTGGTGTCTCCGGAGCGCCTCCTCTTCCTCACTTGTCCTTCAGCGTGGCCATGCCCAGGGCCTCCGAGCTGTAGTCGTACTGGTTGCTGGAGGACATGGACCGTCCCCAGGAGCACTGCAAGTTGGAGCCCCTCTTGCGAAAAGAAGATGTGAACCTGTAGAAGTTGCGGTGCCTGTTGCGCAGGTATTCCCGGTAGTTTTTGGTGAGCAGGGTGTAGAGGAAGGGGTTGATGCAGCTGTTGCTGTAGGTCAGGCAGGTCACCAGGTAGTTAATGCACTTTTGGGTTTGGGTGGTGAGCTGCAGGGAGCTGCTGTAGAGTCGCACCAGCTGCCAGATCCAAAACGGCAGGAAGCAGGCCCAGAAGACCAGCACGATGCTGAAAATCATGATGAGGACCTTCTGCCGGGGGGATCTCTTGCTCTTCTCCTTGTGGGGAGGGTTCCTCTGGGACTCCAGGTAGGTCCTGGCCAGGCGCGTGTAGAGGAAGCCAATGATGATTCCCGGGGCCATGATGCTGGTGCTGAAGAGCACCGTCAGGTAGGTCCGGTAGGCGTCCACGCTCCAGGTGGGCGCGCACATCCTCTTCACCTTGCCCTCCGCCTTACCCCCCTCGGTCAGGGTGACCATCAGCATCATGGGCAGAGTAAGGAGCAGCGAGACCGACCAGACGGCCCCCGCCGTGACCTTCCGGTAGCCACGCGACCGCTTCAGGGTGTCCAGGGGCCGGGTGACGGCCAGGTAGCGCTCGGTGCACATGAGGGTGAGGGTAAAGATGCTGGCGTGCATGGTGAGCAGGTCCAGGCTGAGCAGGATGCGGCACCCCAGGTCCCCGAAGTACCAGTCCTGGGCCAGGTAGGTGCAGACGATGAAGGGGATGGTGGAGAGGTAGAGGAGGTCGGCCAGGGCCAGGCTGACGATGGAGCTGTACATGGGG